CAACCCGGGCAGGAGAGACCATGAGACTCCTATCTCCAATAAACCACCAGAAAACTGGAAGTGGCGCTGTAGCTCAAGTGGTAGAGCGCTCGCCTAGAGCTGAAGAGCTGAGGGACAGCGCCCAGGCCCAGAGTTCAAGCCCCATGGCCGACAAAAAAAAAAATTAAAGGAAATCATGTTAGGCTCCAGTGGTTTACACTTGTAATCCTAGCTCCTCAGGAAGCTGAGATCTGAGGATCTTGGTAAGTAGCCAGCCCAGGGAGATAAATCTGAGAGACTCATCTCCAATTAGCTAGCAAAAAGCCAGAAGTAGAGGTGTGGCTCAAGTAGTAGAGTGTCAGCCTTGAACAAAAATTCCAAGTGTTCCAAGTGGAACAAAAATTCCAACGCCCAGTATTTGAGTTCAAGCCCCATATTGGCACAAAAAAAGAAAATTGTGTCTGTATTGATCACATACTGATGTTTCCCTAAATAATACAGCATAAAAATATTTATATAGCACCTGCAATGTACTACTGTTATTTAGGGAAGCTTTAAAGTACACAGAAGATATGACAGTCATATGCAAATAGAGCAAAGCAAACATGGATTTTTGTACTCTAAGAATACAGAAATTTGGGCTGGGAAAGTGGTTCAGTGGTACAGTGCTTGCCTTGCATGCCTGAGGCCCTGGGTTCGATTCCTCGGCACCACATAAGCAAAAAGAAAAAGCCGGAAGTGGCGCTGTGGCTCAAGTGGTAGAGCACTAGCCTTGAGCTGAAGAGCTGAGGGACAGTGCCCAGACCCAGAGTTCAGGCCCCACGACCGAACCCCCCACCCCCTCCAAAAAAAAAAAAGAATACAGAAATTCATCCTTGGAATTCAACCTTAAAAAGGAAGGAAATTCTGGTACAATGCTACAACATGAAGGAAACTTGAATCACGATGTGAAATAGAGCAGTTACAAAAAAGAAAATACTGTATAATTATAGTTAGATGAGGTAAAGTAACCACACTCCAAGAGACAGAAAGAATAGTGGTTTCCAAAGCTGGGGGAGAGGAGAAAATGAGGAGTAATTACTTATTGGTTATAGAATTTAAGTATTACAAGTTTTTTTTTTAAAGTGCCGGATGCCGGTGGCTCTTGCCTATAATCCTAGCTACTCAGGAGGCTGAGATCTGAGGATTGTGGTTCAAAGCCAGACCAGGCAGGAAAGTCTATGAGACTCTTATCTCTAATTAACCGCCAGAAAACTGGAAGTGGCGCTGTGGCTCAAGTGGTAGAGTGCTAGCCTTGAGCTGAAGTGCTTAGGACTGGTGCCCAGGCCCAGAGTTCAAGCATATGACGGACAAAAAAAAAAAAAGGACTGATGGTTGCACAACATTATCTTGTTTTTTTTTTTTTGCCAGTCCTGGGGCTTAAAATCAGGGCCTGGGCACTGTCCCTCAGCTTCTTTTCCTCAAGGCTAGTGCTCTATCATTTGAGCCACAGCGCCCCTTCCGGCTTTTTCTGTATATGTGATACTGAGGAATCAAACCCAGGGCTTCTTGAGGGCTAGGCAAGCACTCTACCACTAAGCCACATTTCCAACCATCAATGTATTTAATAATACTGAGTTATACACCAAAAAATAATTTAGGTGGTAACTTTTATTTATTTATTTTTTGCTGGTCCTGAGGCTTGAACTCAGGGCCTGGGCACTGTCCCTGAGCTTCTCTGTGCTCAAGGTTAGCGCTCTACCACTTGAGCCACAACACAGCTTCTGGCTTTTTGTTTATGTGGTGCTGAGGAATGGAACCCAGGGCCTCATGCATGTAAGGCAAGCGCTCTGCCACTAAGCCACATTCCCAGCCCAGTTTTATGTTTTTTACATAATCAACCACAAAGAAAGAAAAAAAGATCTTGACCCTGGAAGGCTATTTAAGCCACACCCAGAACAAAGTGACCCTAAGACTCATATTTGGAAGCCTTTGTGACTCCCCCAGTCGTTACAGTAGCCTATCTCCTTCCCAGGAAGAATTCCCTCCCCAGCCCCTAAAAAATTCCCAGTAAAAAGTTACAAATGGTGTGGGAGTAATTTTTAAGAAGAGTGGAAAAAGCTCCTTTAGGATTTGCCTTGAGGTACAAAAGAAGAAGGATTGGGAGCTCCACAGTCCAGACCAAAGGAGTAATTACATTAACTATGGGATTAACTCTCCAACAGCTGTCAGTTTCCTCCATTTTTTTTTTAACCACCCCTCTCCCAAGAACAAAACTCCAGGAAAATAGAGATCGGTGGTTTACATATTAAGCCCACCATAATATTTAACAAGTAGCAGTCCCAGGGAAAATGTGATTGCCTTCTAAGAGCCTGAGGCTAAATTGAAAAAAAACAAAACAAAACAAAAGCACCTAACAGAGGTTTCCCACTCCACATGAATTAATTACTTCATTACCTCCCCCTCCACAGTGCTCATTCCCTCACCTGCCCATTTCCTGGTTTGGACATGGTTTTCCTGGCTCGGTGAACCTTGGGCTGACCCTCCGGGGTGGTGGTAGCTGGTGGAGGGGGTGGTGGAGGAGGTGGAGGTTCAGGCCCTGTAGCTGAAGTTCCCTGGGACCCCGGCATACTCAGCAGCCTCATAGCTAAACTCTGGACCGAAGGAGGCGATTTTCCTGCTCCTGTCATTGACATTTTGGCCCGGCTGGGACAAGCACCCCCCTTGCTGGGAGAAGAGGGGAACGACTTTGTGGCATGGCCTAGAAAAGAGGACAAGCAGACAGACGAGAAGATCAGACAGACAGACAGATAAGAAGGCAGAGGGAGAAGACCCTCCACCGGCCCCCCACCCCACCCCACCCCTCCCCGACCTCTCACCCAACAGGATTCGGCCCCCATCTCCCTCCAGATTCTCGGGCTCGTCCCCAATGAGCGGCGTCGCTCCTACAGGGGTGTCAGCCCCTTCGTCGCCGACGGTAACAGTGACCGAGGCCGGAGATGAGGGGCCAACAGGCTCCAAGGAGTCTGGATTGGCCTTGGGTAGGGTCTCCTCGCCGTGAGGGGTGTCCCCCAAAGAGCCATGAACTGTAAAGGAAGAGAAAAAGTTCAGGCTAAGCGATCCGGGAATCCTATACGAAAGGGAGGAAGAAGGTCCAGCTGGGCCCGTTTCGGCCGCACTCACCTCTCTCGGTGGCTCCTCGGGGCTCCTTCTCCAGCAGCAGCGCCCCCATCTCAGCGGGGGCCTCCCCCTGAGAGGGGAGACAAGGAACCGGTGGGCTGGTCAGCCCGGCGGGGAGCTGGGGGGCCCAGGACGCCTGGGCCCTGGGAAGAGACAGTAGGCTCCGAGGCCTACCTCTTCCTCTATGGGGCCCCCCCCTTCCTCGGCCTCGACTGCCCGGAGGGGCTGCACGACCCCTCCCCCGGGCCCGCATCAACCCCCGCCCTCTCGGCAGACCCCGCATCTCTGGGGCCGAGAGGAGAGGAGGGGGAGGGGGCGGGGCCTCCGCGCCCCGGCCCCGCCCCCTCCTCCCGGCTGCA